ATATTTATCCCATATCTACATTTCAAAATATATTTGTACTTTAATAATAAATAGTTGTTTTTTGATGTACCATCTTTAATTTTTCTTTCTAATGGTTGAGTTTCTTTAAAATTGTTTCTTTAAAACGTCAAAGAGGCAATAATAAACATCATCATAGACGACACGACTGTTTGTTTTAATTCTCACCATTTTTTTCCAACAGATGAGATGTACAGAAAACTGTGGGGGAAAAAAGAAACAAAGCATCGATCTAGTTGATTTTTATGAAACCTGTAAAATTAATAACCATCAGTCATTTGAATCATAAAACAACAAACCTGAAAACAAGCATTTTCTAAATGTGTTTTAACAGAATCCCTGAACTGAAAAGACGAAGTAATAAACTCAAATTGCAATAAAATACAATAACATTAAGGTCAGTGTTTTGTACATTTTATGTACTTTACAACAAACTTTCAAGGTCAACCATAGTATTCACTATGAATATCATAGTGATCCCATTTTAAACTGGCTGCTCCAAACATGAGCAGATATAGAGCCAGAGATCAACCTCCTCCTCTGGGCTCTACAGCAGTGGGCGGTGTGTGTGTGTGTGTGTGTGTGTGCGCGCGCGGGGAGGTAAACCAGGCTGTGCACACACCAGCATCATTCTGGTGTACTTTAATACTTCTTCACACACACGATATGTAGCGCTGCACTAAACGAGTCACTTTGTGCTGGGAGCAGGTAGTGACAGCAGCAGCCTGTTGACCTCCCTCAGCCGAGCGTCCAGAGTCTCTGTCGTTAGCGACAGCTCAGCTACTTGAGTCCGTAGGTCCGCCAGGGTCTCGTTTAGCTCCTCCTCCTTGCGGCGAGAGTTGGCCGCCTGCCTGCTGTACTCCAGCAGTATGCACCCGCCGCCGACGAGGAAGATGATGGTCTCTCCGAGCAGCTCTGCTCCCAGCTCCGCCGCCGCCTCCTCGTTCAGTGGCTTGATGGTGGCGCCCTTGAAGCCCATGATCCGCATCTTCGTCCTCATCTCGATCCAGTGATAAACTGCAAGGAGGAACGAGGACACGTTAGGGCGTTAGTCACGCTCAGATGCATCAGAGTAGCTGGAAAGTGGTAAATAGATGGTGATAAATGTTTTGACTTATAAATAAAATAAGTAAGTAAGTAAATAAAATAAGTATTACAACTGATTTTTTTTAATTAGCATTATTAGTTAAGACTTCCAGGATGTTTTAGGCACATCTGCAGGAGTTTATATATATGTCATTGTTGCACATTATGGATATTGGGGTATATGGATTATGCTAGTATTGCAGGTGATCATTAACAAATTATATACTCTATTACTACGTATAATAATAATAATCTAAGGTTGGTCTTAAAGCAGCATATTTGTGTAAAAGAAGTATAAACATGAAAACTGGTTATGATTGCTTGTTTGAAACAGGTTTTCTCAGGTTAGTGGGGCGCCTTGCTTGATTAATCCTCAAAATATATAATGTCTTCAATATAGAGCACTATATATCAATTTAGATAAACATTATTTGTCGATTTAAACAATAGAAATCTTTAAATAAAAGCGGTTTGTTAAGCTAATGTAATGTCATGCCCTCACAGCAAAGTCTGTTCAATGACAGAAAAGTCCCGCCCTCTTTTAGCTTACCCGATTGCTATTGGTCGAATGGAAGAGTTCAGAAAAACGATTGGCTAAGAAACACAGTGAGGCTCAGCGTGATTGGCTGTTACGGATATCATCAGTGAAAACTCCAGTGAGGTGAACTCTTGTCTTTTTTAGCCGCCGTTAGCCTGATACTCACGCTGCGCCGGCGGCAGGCAGACGTAGCTCCTGAAGAAGTCGCTCCTCCGGGCTCCAGCTTTKATCCGGTTCGCCAGAGGCTTGCTCAGCTGCCTCACGCCGAGGTAGAGGAGCTTGGCGATAGGGAAGGCACCGACAACCATCTTGGCGGAAATGCTTCGCCAGAGTGGGGCGGGGTCAGTAGAGGTTACGCGATGACGTTTATGATTGACGGTGACCCGTAAACCCGCCCACTTCTCCCAACCAGAATAAACTTTTTTTATTGCCATGTTTGTCTGATTTTATAACACAAGTTTGTATTTTAAAGTGCTAAAAATAGGTATACAGATATTGTTTAAAGGAAATGTATCAAACAATTAATTTACCCCAAACATTTACGTTCAATTTTACCTAGCTTTTTGCTACTTTTAGCTCATGTGACTACTATTATGATACATTTAGCTTTTAACTATGTCTTTAATAATTTTTAGTACAAATAGCTCTAAGCTAGCTTTCAGCTACGTGTAGCTTTTACAATCTTTTTKCTTCTTTTAGCTTGTTTTCTTAATTCTAGCTTGTAATATGCTGATAAAAACTTTATCAAGCTAGTTTTTGCTTATATTTTAGCAGCATTCAGCTTTCTGCATATTTCTACATTTGTTTACTTCCTTTTACGTTTAAAATCTCATAAGTCAAAAAGACTAAAATATATAAAATAATATTTTCATGCGTCCTCTGTGCGTTTTCAAGCTGACTCGCCAGCAGAAAGTTGATAATTACAGGTTTCTGTTCCAGGTGAATAACGCCCCTTTCACAATAAAAGCYCGTGCAGCTCGGTTCGGCCCACCTGGGCCAGCTGCTGCAGGCACACCTGGTTCGGGTTTCAGCAGCCAGGGGTGGGTTGGACTCTGATCCAGAAAAAGCTGCAGTCAGGACGATGACTGGATGTCTGGGAGGAAGAGACAGAACTGCGCGTTTCCAGGAAGACCAGGATCGAGACCAGGATCAAGACCAGGATCAGGACCAGGATCGGGCTCTGAACCCAGCTYGGCTTTAATCCTCGAGTCTGGAACAAAAGAGCTGAAAGTTTCTGAGGTGAGAATGCTTTTACTTGTTTTTAACTTTCCCACGTTACGCAGGAGAAACTGCGCACTTTGCGCAGAAAGAACCGTCGAATAAGAATCTGAACGCTTTTATTTGGGAGATTATTAGTTTAACTTTGTGGAGTTTTGTGAAGTTTTCTCTTCGTTTCTGTGGATTTCTTTGTGTTTTTCTGGCTCACTGAGGTGGAGCTTAGCTGTTCTAAAAATAAATAAATAAAAATGTCAGATTTCACCAGCAGCGGCTGGCAGACCTCTTGTTTCCAACCACAGAAACATTCAGCTGAAAAAAAAAAACTCACCGCTTTATTTCTGTCAGTTTTATGTTGGATAATTGTGATTTAAATGTTTTAGTCATTCTCTAAACCGTGCAGAGTTTGACTCACAACATAAAAACGCAGGCACAGATTGGAAGTGTTAAAATAAAACTTTATATACTGTACATATTTTGTCAATTTATGGCATTTTTTAAATTATTTCTAGCAACAATTAAGTCACAAAAACGTACAACTAGTGATTATTTTAAAGCTTAGCAAAAAGTAGCATACTCGAAGTTTATTTTAATAAGTATACTTGTGTATAAGTTTATCAAGTATACTAGGCACAATATACTTGCAGTGTCCTAGAAAGTATACTGATTTAATACTTGTTTGTACTAAACTGGGATTTTTTGGTTGTTTTTAAAAAGTATACTTTAAGTATACTGTTATAATGTCTTTTTAAGTTTATAAACTTACCAAAAAGGAGTATACTTCAAGTACATGCCATTAAGTATAAGTATGTATTTCCCTAAGTGTAATTTTATTTACCATGTGCACTGATGTAAGTGTACTAGCAGTTTACTAACAAGTCTACTTCTACTAAATTGTACCACAATAAGTTTATGAAAGTATCATCATCATCATCATCATCATCATCATCATCATCATCATCATCATCATCACTTTATTTATACAGCACATTTAAAAACAACAGTGTTGACCAAATTGCTTCACAGACCGATACAATAAAACTAATAAGAAGCCAAAAACAAATAAAAAGACACAAATAAATTCCTGTGGTCGTTCAAACTGAACTTAAGTGTAAAAAAGTGAGTTTTTAAGGCAGATTTAAAAGACTGAACAGACTCTGCAGTATGGATCTCAAGAGGCGAGTTGTTGCAGAGTTGTTACTGGAAGTAATCTTCTGTATATCTTCACATATACTACAAATAAACCAGTCTGTGTGAAAATATATTTTCAGTGTATTACTAAGGTTTATCTTGGACAAAGGTTTAAACATTAGTATAAACTAAGTATACTTAAACTTGTAGTCCAGGATCCTGCCGACAACGCCAATTAACTGTCGTGGCAAGTTTACCAAGAATGCAGAAACACGTTGGAAATAAATGCACAGAAAGTCTGCGTGTACGTTCGTCAATAATTTAATTCTGAGCGACAAACAAACGGAACTCAATCAGGAAAATCTGTCGGCTTGTGGCTGCTTTCCTCAGCAGAAACAGCCAGTAATATAACGTTATGTTAACACCATGTGACAGTTTACAACCAATCACAGATCGACKAATGTACTGCCCGGCCAATCGCAGGGCTCTCAGCTCAAAGAGTTTCTTATCAAACAAGAGAGGTCAATCCCTCGCTGGAGTCCTGTTGTCTGGGCCAAMACAGATTAACAGCYGAAAACTGGTTATAATAAGATATGGTAATTGGACGGTGTCAAGGTAGAACAGATATACATAATTAATCCATAACACTTTTAGTACAAGCTAAGTATGGTAAGATAAACTTGGTTAAGTAGATCTCAGTTAAGTACATAAAAAGTAAACTATTTTTAGCTTAAAATCAGTATATTTAATGGATACTTGTATATAGTACTTTGCTAAGGGTAAATTTGGATCGTCATGATGACAGATGTGATTTTTTAGAAACCAGAGCAGCTGATAAACATCTTTCGTTTTGTTTTGGTTTTATATTTTGAGCCAATATGTATTTTTCATGTAATAAAATCTAACAATAAAGGTTGAACTTTAATAAACATTTGTGAGCCGTCACATTGAAACAAGGATCAAGTCCAAAAGTGGTATATGGAGAAGTGGGAAAATATAGTGTTTTGACTAAAATGTTAACAAAAATTGCATTTTGTCAAAATATAATGAATAAAAGCCTTATTAATGTATCATTT